ATCCTCCACTTGTGACTTCCCCAATGGTTTCACCTTTCTCGTTTTGAATCTCGCTGTGGCTTCTAGCAGGTGGGCCTGAAGAGATGAAACCAGCACGCCGGATTTTAGGACCTTCCTCAAGTTGCTTGAGTATTACCTCAGCACCAAGAAAGCCGCCTTCTGCCCTTCTTCTCTTCCCTATAGCCCATGTGAGTCCAGCCTCCACAGGTGTTGTGTGTTGCTCCATATCATTGCCGTATAAACACAACCCAGCTTCCAGTCGGAGACTGTCGCGAGCACCCAGACCTGTCAGCCTCACCTTCCCCTCGGATTTCTCCAAGATTGCTTTGGCAAGATCTACTGCATTCTCATCAGGAACCGAGATTTCAAATCCATCTTCACCGGTGTACCTAAAATTCTCAGTGAAAAGTACAATCAAATGTCAATCACAGCTCACTCAATAAGACAATAGAAATGCCAAATTCTTATATCACCAAAGAAAGGCACATAACAGAATAAAATTGCTTCACTTGTCATCTTCAATCCTTTTATTAGAAATTACGTGGGGGAACAGAAACAACTAACTAAAGTCTGAGCACTTGCAAAAAACCTTAAATTGGTATAAACCAAGGGTCATCAGCCGAATTCTCAGATGGAAAACTATAATCCCCACACCGTCGAAAGTAATTTGCTCGCTTTGGAAAAGACCACAAAAGAGATAGGGGAAACGTACCCAGTCCTTGTGAGAAAGCAGCGTGCACCATTGATATCCAAAATTCGGAACTCTCCAAAATATAACTTGCTCAAATCCTCTTTTGTCAAGTGTTGAAGAGTTGGGGCAGCAAGAGGACCCTGCTCGAAAAATCAGAAAACTCTTAGTGCATTGTTACTATAAGGAACATTAATCAGCCATTGAAGCAAAATCAAACTCTGTCCAATTGTGAACCTACTTCACTATCGTAACTGCAGCAGTTTTAACTAATCGAATTATTTGTCAAATCAACATCAATAAGTTTCAACTGAACCACAAAACCTACCTTCTAATTGCTGTACTTAGCTTAAATTTCTTTTAAACTGAATTTTTTATTGTAAGAGGAAAAAAGCAGCAATTGAATCAGACGATTCCAAACAAATGCAATTGAATAAGACAAATTTCAAATATGCAACACCGCAATCATACACGCCAGTTCTATCAAATGAGCAAGTGAATATTTAAAAAACACGAGTATATGGCAGATTCGGTACAATAACAATATGAATCAACAAAGACGAGTAAATATTTGATCAAAGGATTCACCTGGAGAGCTAGAAGAGATCTCTCATCATGGATGTGCCATGAGACATCTCCGCCTTTAGCCTTGAATGCCTTCATATGCTCTTCAATGTGAGCAAGATCTTTATCCCTACATCCAGCGTTCACCACCAGGTATATGTGGTCATCGGTAACCTTGGTAATCACAGAGTCATCAATTGCCCCTCCCTTCTCGTTTGTAAAGACAGTGAGTGTCCCCATTCCAGGGGCAAGCGAAGCAACATCCGCAATGACAAGCTTTTCAAGGAATGGAATGGAGTCCTTCCCCTTAAGGCTAAGCCCACACATATGCGAGACATCAAACAGACTACCATTCTGCCTGCAGTTTATAGTGGAGTCAATGATCGAGTCCTTATACTGAATAGGCATTCCCCATCCAGCGAAAGGCACCATCTTTCCGCCATTTGCAATGTGGAAGTCATAGAGGACTGTCTTTTTGAGTTCAGCTTCTGAGGCAAAGTATCGACGAGCTACAGCCTTCTTATCACCCTGAGCAATACGCCGGGTGATTGACTGGCCAAGTTGCCACAAACCCGCTCCTCTCATCTTAGCAGAAATATCTGAGACACATAATCAATCATACTGACTTTTAGGTTCATGTTACAAAATCGAGATAGGTCTGCTATACTAGAAATGACACGCCTCTATAACTTGTCCTACAAACAAAGCATATTCTAAATGGGCACCAAACGATTCAAGCCAAACCTCCATATCTCAAAAACAACAATAATCAATACACGGTAGGGCGTCATGAGTTGCTGTGAGGAAGAAACCAACGAGAGATAAATCGATCAAAAATGTTGCATTGCATTGCAATTCATACAGTTTTGTTAGTGTGGTTGCATCGAGACATTCCCCTTAAGCACCAAATTTTTTAACTTTGACGTCGAAAGTCATCCAAATGGTATAAAAACACAGTGGAATTCATCAAGCAGGTCTCTTTACAATACAATTTTCACACTTTGCATATGAGAATCCACCAAATCAACATAACAAGTTTTAAACCACTGAAAGAATGCTACAAATCAATCAGAACCTCTTTCAAGAAAAATAAAACAAATTGAATATTAAGCCATTGGGATCTCAAATATCAGAACCATCAAAGAGAAAGCAAACCAACCACACAGATCTTCTAATCTCACATCATCTAATCTAGAGAGAGAGAGAGAGAGAGAGAGATGCATTAAAAATAATATTCCCAGAAAAACATACCCAATGAGATGCAATTACAGAACAAGGAGAGAAAAAGAATAAGAAACTCACATGCTGAGATGGGTTGTCTTCTCTGTTATCTGTTCTTTCAAAAACAAGCAAATCTGAGACTGAGAGCCCAAATGAGCATCTGCAAACTCAGAACAAAGGTGGCGTTTTTATATTTCTGAGTCCAAGTACGAGACAGTCGCAGAGACAGATAAATTAAAAAAAGAAGGAAGAAGGAAAAAAGAAAAGGGTTGGTGGGTGTGTAGTGGGTGGAGGAGGGTTCTTCCCTTCCTAATCGATAGAGCACCCCATCGCCAGTCAGTGAGTGGTGATGGCACAACTTGACAAAATAACCCCAATCCCCTCTATCCTATGATCATATCGCTTTCTTCACTCCACTCTTACAACACAAGGACTTGTGGGTCGGATTGGATTCGGGTTTTCTCCTCTATTCACAAGGTTTTACAAAATGAGTCACGAGGTTTTAATTTTCTTCAAGTGCACTATGATTTAAAATCGTATCAATTTATGGTTTTTTTTTTTAGTTAACCGTGTGATTCAACATTAAATTGATGATGTTGTAGATATGCGAATTGGTTATAGGTTACGTAGAATCTACAATTGCACAACTAAGACAAACTAAGGGACTATTTGTCGTTTGGAACTAATAATGCATTTTGAAGAGAAGTTGAAGCTCGATGATAACTAGTTTTGTTTCCAGGTAGTACTATTGTGATTTCCACACCAATACATAAATGAGTCACACGCTAGTCGTGCTACTAATTTAATAAGAATCACAAAAACATACAGTTATACAAATCGTAGACATGAAGGATGGGGATGATTCAGATGAAGGATGGACAATAATAAAACCTCATGGGACATTTTGACTTTCTAATACAAGCAAGCCTCGTATACAATAATAACATGGTCCACATATATTAGAGTGTCAACAAGTGTGTCAGTTTTGTATATTTAAATAGAATTATTGTTATACTCTTGCAAAAAAAATAATCTCTTTGCAATAAGAAAATGATTTATTCACACTTTTTTAATTAATGCATATTTTATTTTTTAACCACTAGATTTAACGAATAAAAAAAGAACAAATGATGATAAATAAGGGAAAAAAAGTGTAGAAAAGATGAAAAAAAAAAAGTGTGCATATTACTCTCCATGCAAGATTTGGACCATTCCAATCTTACATGGAGCACAAAAGCATGAGGCTTACTGGGCTCATAGATTGCCCTGGCCCAATGTCCCCAACATTTCTACTCAAGATCCATCTAAATATTGCCATAGCAAAATAAAAAATTAAGAACAAAACAGGGATAATTAATCAAAGAGAGAGAAAATTCAAATTTGGTAACTTAAATTAATTATTCCATATCTAGTGCACCAACCATATATGATGAGCACAAATTAAGCAACTAGTATTAATTAATTGATTCAGCTAGCTGCATGCATATATAGTGCTCAAGTCGATCCACCGCCAGCTCCTTGCCCTTCAACCGCCCCCGCCCCAGCTGCAGCTCCAGTTGCAGCTCCATCCGCAGCTCCAGTTGCAGCTCCGGATTCAGCACCAGATGCAGCTCCGGTACCACTACCATAGCCTACTCCGCTTCCGAACCCACCTCCAAAACCAAATCTCTTACCATATGGATATCCATAACCAGGAAACTTGTGATGGAAAAATGCATACGTCTTTTCATCATCAAATTTAAATGCACCGCCGACGCTACCCTTTTTGCTCATTGCAACGTCCCTCCCAGCCTCCGTGGTGCTACTGAGTGTAGCTAGAGCACCCACAAGCACCAACATGATCAAAACCTTCGCAGCAGCCATGATTTCAAGCTATTCCTAGGAGAGAAGTAATAAACTAAAGATTTGTGTGTATTCGATTTGGGACATTTCCCTTCAGGTTGGGAGACTGAATTTATAGGTTGAAGAACAAGACTAGAGAAGATGAAGGTTGAAATTAGGGAGATCCTCTTCATGTACGTGAGTAACCTATATTTTCGGTTTACCAACAAATACAACCGCCCCCACGTATTGTTGGTGTGTTTGCATCAAAATGATGTTTTTTTTTTTTTCATTTCTAACCTCTATTACATCTATGTAGTTGAGAGAGGTTACTAAATTCGTATCCCTCGTGGTTTGAAAGTCAAATGTAAAATCACACCATCGACATGCATGTTTTATGACGTTAATTTGTAATGAAATATTATAAGTCACGTTATTTGCACTTGGAGTTATTTTGTTAGTCACTACACACTACAAGAAAAACTGACAACTACTGATATTGGTTGTACCAAATGAGGTGCATAAAAAGCATACAAGTGACTAAGTGGGTTATTAGCCACTCAGAGGCCTTTTACTCACTCCATTTTGTAGAGGTAAATGTTAGTGATAATGTCAATTTAAGGTATCCGGTCATTAATCTAATTGCACATGAAGCATATATTCGAGGAGAATATTGAAAAGAGGTACAAATTAAGTCTAGAGTCGCTTTTTTTTTTTCTTTCAAGTTTCGCACATTGTCTGCATAAAAATGTGCATGATGATTTTAAGTGTTAAGAGTGAGCTCAAGAGAGACATCATTAGCATCTGAATTTCCAGAGGCTTTGCTGAGCCTCAACAGTTCACGGGACGCTTTTGGTGATGACGAGTTGAGTGATAGAAACATTCTTGCATCATATTCACTTTCTGTACCGCGTAAATCTTCCAAATGTTTATGATTGCTCTCCTGAAAATTCATACACATGGTATGGAATATTAAAGGACTGTTCAGAGCCAGAATGTCATAGGAGAGAGGGAGAGAGAGAGAGAGAGGGAGTACTTGTCCAATATTATCACTGCATCTTTTGAGTAGATCATTGAATATGATGAAAGAATTTGGTTTCTGCTCGTATCTTTTAGTTGATACTTGATAGGGTACTAATGGCTTCGTCTCATCCTTCCTGTAAATATCATGAATGTAAATCTCACATAACTAATTAATAATGTCAATTAGGAGATAAAAAGAATTAATTAATTTACAATTACCATTTGGCCAGAGGGCTGGTGTTCTTGGTAGCAAGGTCTTCAATGTAACAAGTTTCATTGCTTTGGCAGGGTCCATAATTGTACATTTTTATCACCCCATCGTTCTTTTGGTGACAAACAGGTTGAGCGATATTGATTGGTTTTAAGTAGGTTGAGTTGTTAGAGTGCTCAGAGATCAGCAAAACACCATTCTTCTTTGCTGCCATAGCAGCTGCTGCACAAAATTTCAATTGAATTATTAGCTGGAGCTTAAAGAATGACAAAAACATTCATGATTACACAATTTTTAAATGAAAAGGAGAGAAGGAGAAAGAAAAGCCAATAAACTCGTGTTGCAAATCAATTAGGTCTTCTTCAATTTTGAGAATAATCTCGAAGGAACCAAATATCATAGAAAAATCGTACAAATACATTATTCCTAGGAATTACAAATCAAGAGGAATTTTGAGCAAATCGACTATATATATTCACATCTAGTACAACAATACTTTTTCGTTGTTATACATATATAATACATGATGAAGGGAATATATATATATATTGATCATATATTGTGCAATAAATTTAATGACCCAAATAATGATGAAAATTAGTCAAGAGTGAAGAGGAGAGAGGGCATGCATGTATGTACGTGTGTACCTTGTATGCTTTGCTCATGCTTCATACTCCTGTACATCTGTCCACGGTCACAAACCTCAACGTTAGAAAGAATAAAAAAAGAAATTCCAATGTAATTAAGGTGCTTGCTATGAAACTGCCTCTCATCTTTTCTTTGAGTGCTCTATTTCTTGTCAAAGTTTGGTCTGCTTGCTTAGTATATGGTTTTGCATGTCATATGCTTTCATCAAGACATTGATAATTTTTTTGGGTACCCTTTGGTTTGTGGCTTTGGTATTCAGCTGGTGGGGCATGATTGGTGCTGGTGTTTATTTAATTTGGGCTCATATTTATTTACGTTTTAGGGGTGAACTACAATCAGCCTCCTCTCTTATACGAGCAATCAAGCTCCAATTAATTGAGGTTACTTCTATCAATAATGTTTCCATGAAGAACTCTGTTGATGTGCTATGTATTCTTCGGTCAATTGTTGTGCAAGGTCGTCCTACTAAGGCTCCTCGTACGGTTGAGTTAGTATGGAGTCCTCCTTCCTGTTCCTGGGTTAAGGTGTATATAAATGATGCAACTAGGGGCTACTGGCTTGGCTGGTATTTTTGGAGATCACAAAGGACTTGCTCTTGGTTGTTTTGCGAGTTCGCTTAGGTTAGCATCATCCTGGGAGGCTGAGTTGCATGCCGATATTCAAGCTGTCTCTTTTGCTTGGGACGAGGGTCGATAAATTTTATGGATTGAATGTGATTCTTCTCTTATAGTTCATTTTCTTTCGACTCGAGAGTTGATGATGTGCCTTGGTCATTCTGTGTTTAATGGCATAATTGTAAGGTGCTTTTATTTTGTATGCGAATCCGATTTTCTCATAATTATGGAGAAGGGATCAAGTGGCGGATTACTTAGCTAATTATAGAGTTGATCATCCAGGTAATTTTGGTGAGAATTTTGTTCTCCTTGTGTTGCTGCTCCTTATCTTCATAATCTATCTCAACTTCCTGTTATAGGTTAGTTGATACTGAGCTTTGTTTTTCTATGAGGGGAGGATGTATTAGCATTTTGCTTTGCGGTCTTGGACTTTGGTTCGAGGAATCTTTGTCCAGTTTTTCTTTTTCATTGATGTATTGATTTTTTTTGCGGGTTTTGGCTTCGTCTCATGCTCGTATTTATTTATCATAGCTTTTTATTGTTTAATGAAATTATAGAGATAGGGGATGGGGTCGTTCTATCGGAAAGTTAGCTCTTTCTAATCGTTTTCGCTTTGAGTTGGAAAGAAGTAACCTACTTTGTAGTTGATGACTAATTCTCCGGGTCTTGGTTCTTTTTGACCGTTTGTATGGATTTAGAGAGTAAAACAAACTACTATGGTAGACCAATGACTAAATATTTTGTATGGTTCAACTCGCATAATCTATTATCATTCTTTTATACCAAAAACAAAAAGACAAAAAAACCCTATTCTATCCAATTAATTAATTGGAAATTTCCTCTTCAAAATAAATAAGTAGAAAACAGCAAATTAACAAAGAGAGCTTTTTCTACGATTAACAAGATCTAGCCATCTCTTGAACCAAAAAAAAGAAAGAAAAGATGTAGTTATCTAGCTAGATCGCAGATTACCTGAAGATGGCTTTTAACGTGCGATATAGTGAGGCCTTTCACATTCATGATCGGTAAAACCATCTTTGGAGTGGCTCCTGTAATTAATTGAACACAACCATAAATTTTTTTTTAACAATTTGCTATGTGTGTGTGTGTGTGTGTGTGTGTATATATGTGTGTGTGCGTGTGCGCGCGCGCGCGCGCGCGTCTGTGCTGGGAGAAAAGCTGAAGTTACTTTGATCTCCTCCAAGCCTTTCAACTGCATGAACAAAACAGCGGTGAAGATCAGGCGTCCAACGAAGCCGAGGCATATTGGACCGAACATAAGGTCTCACCGGAACCGATGATGACGAGGATGATTTCAACAGGCTGCCGCTCATCTGACGATGACTGGGCGCGGCCGGAAAATGGTGGGGATAGCCGTGGACTACTAGCTGCTTCCCTAGAGCTGTGCTTCTCATAGGAGTGACACCAGCACCATCACCATCATCAAATGATGACGTGTAGGGTTTCTGATCACCATTGTCAACAGAAGAAGAGGGAGACCTCTTAAGAGATGAGGATCTCTGGTGATGGTGATCATCTCCTTCAACCCTCTTCATTGCCTGATCTTTCATGTTAGAGAGAGAGAGAGAGAGAGAGAGAGAGCTAGATATATACGAGATGGGGTCTGAGAGAATATATATGAATACAAAGATGATCAGTTGGACTCTGTTGCTGATATGTGTCTTCTAGTGGCAGCTTTTCTCTGGCTCAAGGAGACACTTCATTTTTTTTTGTCCTTGGAGTTTCAATTGGAAAAAGGAAAAAAAATACTCCACAGAGAATTTCAGACTTTGTAGTCTAGCGCAGGTTGTGATTTTATGTTTCAAGGTGACTTCATGATTGGGTGAAAATGAAAGGTGAAATGTGAAAAATTATATATACTATAATTCAATCTTAAAGTTCTTGGTGATATAATTTTTTCTTGACTAATCAACTACCTAGTTAACACATTCTCTGGGTCTCTTCTGTACTTTTGAACTTTGTATAAAAAAAAAAAAGGAAAGCTAGGTTTCTGGAGCTGTGCCCAGCCCAGCAATATCTAACAACAGGAATGATTAAAAAGTTGAGTCAAGTCAATATATAATATAAATTTGTTCGACCAAAAAAAAAACATATATAAAAATATATGCACAATATGGTCTGGGAATCAGCTAAGCAAACGTCCGTTATAACAAGAGAAATAAATAGGGTTTGACAAGAAAACAAAGGAATGGCAGACGTACGTTATAACTTCTAAGTATGAATCTGATGGGTGACACATATTTGACATAAAAAAAATAAAATTAAAAAAATTAAAAAATGGGTGACATAAGCAATTGCATCTTCAAAGGAAACATACGAAAACAAAACCACCCAAAATTTTCAAACCTCTACTCAGTCCTCACTCCTCACAGTCAGGTTAGAGAAAATTTTGATGTTGTTGTCCGACTAGGGGTAATTCTTATGTATCGAGCAAGATTAATGTGAAGTTGAATAAAGTGAGAGAAAATTTTGATAAGACTGACATGAAGTTGGATAAAAAAAGAATAATTTATAAAATATATCATACCAATGACATGGTTGGCGTTCCTACACCAAATTATTCTTTGAGTCAAGTCCCCTCTCCTTAATTCCAGCCGAAAATGACTTTCACTACTTCACAAATCACATAGTATTTTTTTCAACTAATTAATCAATGGATGACTCAAAGTCTCTCAATTCACACACACAAATCCCAAAAAGCACGGCATAGAAATAGATGAACACAAAATGAACAATAAGCTTGAGGGGAAAGTGATGGGGGGAAATAATATTGAAACGTAGACATGCTTCGCATGTCGGGTACTCGGGCATTGCTAGCTGGGGGACACGCTGGGGATGAAAACGTCATTTAATGGAGGTTATATGTAACCACATCTGGATTGCATGCAGAGTGCAGTTAGGGTTGTGGAATTTGGATGGAATTATTTAAAAAAAAAAATCTTTAATTCATTAAATTTGAATTTATTTGTTTGGACACAGACAAAATGGCTGAACTAAAATTCATGACATGGATGGAACGTGGCCTCCATGGACACACTCGTTCAGTAAAAGCATCCAAAAGTGAGAGAGGCGGTTTCAAATTTGGAAGAATATTCCCTCTCTCTCTGTCATCAGAGTGTTTCTGTGGCAGTGGCATGCATTGGCATGGACGATAAGTGTTGTGTGACATCGTAAGCAATCAAAGTCATTTTTCTTCTTCTTTTTATAGGATATCGTCCAATGTCACTGAAGCTAGATGGACGAAATAAAAGAGTATATTGGGTGTGTGTTGTGTGACCTTCTAATGCCATTAAAGCTCAAGGACGACAATAAAGTCAGCAATGGTTTACGTCACTGATTGGGTAGTCAAGAAATAACACTGAAAAAAATGAATGTAACAGAGATGAGAATGCTTCGTTGGATCTGTGGGCACACGAGAAAGGACAAGATTAAAAACGAGGATATCTGAGGTAATGTAGGAGTGACCGCAATTGAAGATATCAATACGATGGTTTGGACATAGGAAACAAAGATCTACAAATGCTAGTTAGAAAATGCGATTATGAGACGGAGGCTCAAGCCAAAGTTTGGGTAGGAGAAGACTTACGAAGACTTGGAAATAAACTTTAAGAAAGTACATGAAGTACTTGGACCTAACAGAAGACTTAGTGCAAAATCGAGCACATTGATGTTTTAGAATTCATACAGCCGACTCCATGTAGTAGGACAATGCTTTTTTGTTGTTTTTTTGTTGTTTCTTCTTTTTCTTTTTCCTTTTTTTTTTTCCTTTAACAATAATAAATAAAGATGTTTTTTTGGGTAAATGTATAAATAAAAATGTGTGTGTTGCTACTGCTGCATTTAGGGCTTTGGGTTTAAGGTTTACCGCCCAATCCCATGCCAGTCTTCGGTTATCCTTTTATTTTTGAGGAAATTAGAATCTCTTGCAATTTTTCTATAGTTTTTAGATTAAACATTCATTCCTTTTAAATATTTGATTAAGATGCTTTAACAAATTGCCAACTCAATAACTTTCTATTTATTTAATTTTCATGTCATTAATTTAAATGCATTTATATGGAGGCATAAGGTAGCTTAGCAACTAATTGCCTATAATATAGGAATTTAATTTCGTCAATCCCCTTCTATGCATTAAATGTCATTTTTTTAAAAATAAAATAAAAAATTAATTAACTAATTCCTCATTTCCTCATTATCAGTGTTAAAAAAAAGTTCTCTTTCTATTAAAAACGTCTCAATAAAAAGTCTTCAATACATATTTTTTTCCTAAGAAAATTACATTAACTTATTAAAGTTCACGTATAAATATATAAAAAAAAATATACTTAAAACTTATGGTACATTTGAGAATAAAAGTATCGACTTTTGGTACGTTTAGATTTCAAATATACGTACCGAGAAACCAAATGTACCAAAAAATTTAAATGTACCATAAAACCAAATGTACCCATTGTTATGTAACTCATTTAGTACGTTTAGATTTCAAATGTACCAAATGTACGATAAAAGCAAATGTGCCCATTGTTAGGTAAGCCTTTTGGTACGTTTAGATTCCAAATGTACCAAAAAACCAAATGTACAAAAAATCCCAAATATACCACAAAACCAAATATCTCTATCAGATAACATTTTTGGTACATTTACATTACAAATGTACCGGGAAATACATTAGTATTAACTTCAATTACAATATCTGGTTTAAGATATTCATTCTATTTGCTCCGTCTTCTTTGAATTTGGTTATGATTTATGAGTTCGCATAACTTTTTAAAATGCATTACTGATTGTCTAGTCTATACAAATTCTGTTAATTTCCTAAAATGAAATTAGGATAAAAATAGAACTCTGCATGATAGGAAAAACTAGAATGTAAAGACAAATTAACACTCTCTAACACTAGGAGGGTTCAAGGTCAAATTAAAAGCTCATAAAAGACCCGAAATAAAACCCTAAGTTTGTAGGGCATTGATTAAATTCTCTGTAAACCAAATATAAATTCTGCGTTTTTAGCTATTTGAAAATCAATTTTTTGTTTGTTTGCGTGTATCCCTCAATACTATCATTTCTCTCCCTCTTCTTTTGCTTAGAGGAAACAATAACTAAAAGTACCCCTTTGAAGAACTACAAACATGGCACAGCAGTTATAGCCTTTATTTTATTTTTTTATATAAACGATATCTTTATAATCTTAAATTGTGTGGACAGGGATTCGAATGTCAATGCATAAAGAGCACATCCAGTTCAGCCAGACATCCATATCTGCATGAGCCCTTATATTAAATCTCAATTTAGGATGCATATAATATATACCTTTACGAGACGTCCCATCTCCGACTCTTGCAAAGTAGAGAGCTTTGTTGGCTTAGTGTCGCCTTTTTGTTATATATAACTTTATTACTCTCGCAAAGTAGATAACCTTGTTAACTTGGAGTCAGGTCAGGCCCTTTTATTAAATATAGCTTTATTACTCTAGGTTATTGAAATAAATAACCCATCCAGTAATGCTAATTATGGAACGAAAAGAAAATTCTGGAAAGCTCAAGAGGAGCTCCTAGTGAAATGTATTGTTACAACTCGCAAGAATGTGCTTAGTCCTCGCCTAAATTAACTTAAAACTATGTCACCCTCTCGTGATCAAAAGGCGACCAGTTTTCGATAAATTATATTCAGATTTTCAAAGAGGCCTAGTGTGACGGCCTCTCGCCCTTCCACAAAGAAGGGCATTTCTTGGAATTGGGTATTCATCTCTCCATGAATGTGCAGGAGAATACACTCTCAGATAGAACTGCTGCCCCAAGTACTGCCTCCCCCAATTTTGAGACCTGACGTTCCACATTCCCACACTGTCCAATGCTATGTAGATTGCAGTCCATGCCCTAGGATACACCTGCATCCGAAATCACAATAAAAACTCTGTTGTGCACCCAAATTATAACGTGAACTTTCAACACCAAGTGACGATATTCACGTATCATGCAATTTCCAATATTTCTCATACCTGAGTTGTGGAACGTGCAACTGTGTCTCTGAAATTGTAACGAGCTCTACTTGCAGGTGTCCATTGTCCTCCTTCCATCCTGCAGATTCTCCCACCATTCTCAAAATTAGTTAAATGATTAAAGCCCCAACAAATAATTCAAGCCTGGTCATGAAAATAAACAAATTGAAGAAAATTCAAGCTATATGCATGATCTCACCCCATAACAAAGAATGAATAGCCATCAATGTGCCATGACTGCACTGTGTCTTCCCAATTTTGGAACACAATCTCGACGTATTCTCGGAAGTTAGCGTGCATGACTGAAGTCTGGAGGTAGCCGCTTCCGCCTGTGGGGTTGGTCGGAATGCTTCCGACACTGAAAACTCCCTGAATGTTGAAGTAGTCAGCAAGTTTTAAAGGAGTGTCCGGTTGAACATATGAGACACTGTTGACAGCATATCTCTGCTTGCCGTTGATCCAAGGAGCAGAGTTTCCAAGCATGATTGTCCTAGCTGGCTTGATCAATCCATAGTGGTAGGAGCCTTGCGGATTAGGCCTTGGCCCGCTCGCTGTCAAATTCCATCTGTTGAATCGAAAGAGCACGAAAACGATCAATGTTAGAAAGTATATACTGCTTCTCTTTAAGAATATTTGTCAGTATCCCAAACTAATCACTATCATGAGGAGGAAAGTTAAAACACATGGAAATGCATGATTAGCTTGAAAAATACAATTTAGTAAGAATCCATATGTACCTTATAGATCTCGCTTGGCTTACAGACCAAGCAATCTGTGTGGTAGGACCCCAAGGGATAGGACCCGAAACTCCCTTACGCGAATTGCTATAGTGAAGAACGGCTGTTGTGGTGAGTACCCGGCGGGTGAAGCGTGAAGACACAACGACGTAGTAGTCCTGGACAGGCTGATTAGCCGTGACCAAGACGGATAAGGACTGTCCGAGATGGATGTCAAGGGAGTCATATATGTTCTGCAGTGTATGAGATCCTTCCACCTCAACAAGTTTCATTTTGTGTCCTTGAATTCTGAAGTTAATGGATGTCGTAAGCCCCACGTTTGATATCCTAAACCTATATGTCTTGCCTGCAAAACAAATTGTTCAAACAATGCCTTCATTCGTAAGCACAAAGAGGTGTTACATTACTGTCTGGTTCAACTAGCCTAATTAGCGTTAGCGAAGAAGAGAAGTTCATTCGAGGAGACCTTGATCAACGGTGAATGTATATCCGTTCCATCCACGACCGTTGATGAGAAGCCCGTCAGGGTTGGGAAGAGCTCGACCTCTATCCAAGTAGCCTCGTCTCAGTAACTAACATTTCCAAAACAGAACATTCAAAGTCTGAATCTCAACATTTTATGTGACAAAAATATAAAGTTTAGTAGGTTAATTACATAATGATTAGTCTTGAACCAGTCCCCGGCCAGCACGGTGAAGTCTCCGGCAGGATTAGGGAAAGGAACGGGAATCTTAGGACGGCTCCAGATTCTGATGCCACCAAAACCTCCGGCGGCTTTGTGGAACTGGAGGGAGGGAAAGTAGAAAAAGCTACCAATCTGATCCTTGACTTGGAT